AATAGAGGACTATTGGTTCACAGTGCTAATGGGAAAAGTAGAATTGTCAAATTCAAAACCTAGTGGAGATTTGAAGTCTTTTTCCCAGTAGGAAGGAATTATTTTATTTTGTGGAAAAGTCTAAAAGATTTTGCAAGATTTGATACACATTTCATTTATATGGTTGCTAGGGTTTTAAGGGTGGAGGGATAGCTCAGTGGTTTGAGCAGTGGCCTGCTAAACCCAGGGTTGAGAGTTCAATCCTTGAAAGGGCCACTTAGGAATCTGGGGCAAAATCAGTACTTGGTCCTGCTAGTGAAGGCAGGGGGCTGGACTCGATGACCTTTCAAGGTCCCTTCCAGTTCTAGGAGATAGGATATCTCCATTCATTTATTTATTTTATTTTAAATACAATCAGAATAGGGAAGAGTATTCTTACAATGATTTCTCTCTCTACAAGCGCAGATCCAAAACGTGAACATTTCAGGGACAATCAGATGGCATGATGAGAGAGAATGTATAAGCATTTCATGAAAAACATGCCAGAAATAATTATCATTTTACTTATTTTATGGGGTATTCAAACCAACTGGCACAAAATAAAATATAATGATTGAATCAATGAGGAGTTAGAGTTATAGAGATGATAATGCCATAGCTTAAGTTTCTGTGATTAGCGCTCTTCTCCCAAAGGAGAAGTTGTTCAGGAATACACCTCTACCCCGATATAACGCGACCCGATATAACATGAATTCTGATATAACGTCGTAAAGCAGTGCTCTGGGGAGACGGGGCTGCACACTCCGGCAGATCAAAGCAACTTCGACATAACACGGTTTCACCTATAACGCGGTAAGATTTTTTGGCTCCCAAGGGCAGCATTATATCGAGGTAGAGGTGTATGGTATCGCTCATCTAATAAAAGCTTCATATATATACGTTGAGACAATATGAAAGATGATTTTTGGTTGTGGAGGTATATATATGTACATAAGTATAAAGGAGCTTTTAGATGTATAACCTTATTTGCAATTACTAAGCGAGAAGAAAATTTTAAGATATGTAGGTGGCTTAACCTAAATTAAAACCTAATCAGAATCCTTGAGAGAAACTTAACCAGGCTGTCTTGAGTATTCAAAAGCAGTGCACGCACTCTACAGCAGTGTTGTTGCTAAGAAACTGTAATGTTTCAACTTGAAAAATATTTGAAAACAGCTTTAACTAAACTGGAGGCTAGACTCAGGAAAGCTAGCCCTGGTGTATATTAACCATACCTCCCCGCACCAGCTAAGCCCTCTGCATCCACCTGATGAAAGATTCATACCAGAAGAGAATAGATGGTTCTGTCCTCTTTCAGCATTTTTGTAGTGAGCTTTAAACAACTTTAACTTCCACTAGAGCTCTTCACTGTGGGAACTGCTGAGGGAAACTGTTGAATTGACAGAATCCCAGGGTGCCTTAGTATCACCCTTTTTTGGAGTCCTTTTCAGTTATGTTGAAGGAAAGCAAGAGGAGCTTGACTGGCTTTGCCTGCACTTAGGAGAGATCCTGCAAAGGATGGCATTCCTTTCCCACACAGCCATCCATGGAAACCTAGGAGAGGGGGAAAACAGGAAAAGCTGAGAAACCAATAACTAGTTACTAAGAACACCCTGGGCAAGCAGGGTGAGGTCGCGAACGGGGATGGGCAGATGGGGGGGGGGAGGAGCCCCCCTACCAAAACCTCCCCCTCCTGCCCGCCGGCGGGCCCTGCCAATCAGCGCCTCCCACTCCCTCTCAGCGCCTACCGCCTGCCACGGATCAGGAGGTGCTGAGGGGGGAGGGGAGAGGAGGGCAGAACTGGGTGGGGAAGAGGCGGGGTGAGGGCAGGGTGGGAGTGGGTCCTTGGCAGAAGGGGTGGGGTGGGGTCAGGCCCTGGGCAGAGCCAGGGGTAAGCATCCCTCAGCAGATTAGAAACTCGGCGCCTATGTCCCGGACCCGCACCCTCCTAAAGACGGCCCTGATCCCATGAGACAGTCGGGGTGACAGCCATGAGGGTGAAACTCACTCCAGTAGCCACTTTGTTTTCCAAAGTCTCTTTCTTTAAGGGCCCCAGAACAGAGTGAGGCGTGGAATAGCCCATCCCCTTCTTATTTTTTCCACCAGTTAGACCTAATTTCTGACACACCAGTTTTGGTGCATTGGTTTCCAGTTCCACACTTTCCTTGTTTATCAAACATAATTTTAACACAGTCCTTGAGTTATATCAGGAGGCCTTTTTGTTTGGACATATTTAGTTTTTTGTCTCTCTTTTTGCAGTTTTTCCCATTAACATTTGTCTTTATTAGTTATTGTGACATTTTAGGAACTTTCACTTTTCACAGTTGAGCTCACAATTAGGGTAAATTTGTAAGTCCCAATTATTACAACAGGCTATCCTTAATGTATTGTTCACAATATCCAAATATTGCTCATATCTGTGGATATTCTTTAATTGAGAAAGACAAGAAGACATATTTATTGTATGCTACATCCAGGGGTTACTGATATCTTTTGCTCTGAGCTTAGTTATGGTTTTCACCCTTCTGCTTACAGTCCTAACCAAGTCAAGTTCCAAAAAGTCTGAAGTGTTACCCGGGGTTCTTTCAACCCAAATCACTTGGTAACTTTTATTCTGTGTGAGGTGGTGTCAGAAAATAAATCAGGGGAGACACGGCCGTCCAACCAATAGATGACTGGCACAAACAGGACAACACAAGAGTGCTTTCACTTAAAAGCTAAACTTTACTTGGTCTCAAGCACTAACACACATCCGCAACAAGATTAATAAAACACCCCCAACCCTCCATAATTACCGAAGCTGAGTGTGGCTCTCAAGTGACACAGTGGCAGCCTGTCTGCCAGCGGGGAACACAAGATGCATCCAGAGGGAGAGAGCAGTCTTGAAGCTTTTCCCCCTTATTTATACATTAGTAATACAATGACATGTCCCTTAAAGAAAACTTGTCAAGCAAGCATTTCCACTGGGCAAGCAAGAGGCTCCTTTTGATTATTGATTAACCAGGTGTGGGTCTTTCCAGAGCCTGCAGCATTGAGACCCCAATAGACATTCCTGGGGGTACATCCTGCACTTTTAAAATGCATGTATCAGCAACTTTAACACAATTTTTACCAGGAAGGTCGCGGGGTCAAGCTGCCCTTTCTGAGGCACCCAAAACCCCCTCCCCTCCTGCCTTGGTCAAGCTGAGACTGCTGAATGGCCAATTTACAGCTTGCTGACTAGGCTGTCTTTAACAATAAGCCATAGTGGTTTTAGGCACTTTACTGGTTTGCCAAAGTCTTCTTGTACAAAAGAATGGAGGGAATGGTGAACTTGTTGAGTTTGTAGCTTGTTGAGCTGTTCTTCCAGACATAACCTTGGAAGGCACTGTTGATTCATGTGCCAAATACAGAGCCGATAATTAATATAAAGGCATTGGCTTTGGTCGAAATAATAATACATTCCCCTACCTCTGCCCTGAGTAAAGCAAGTCGGGTGTAATTTGAGAGGCTGAACATTTCCTTAAAAACGTGTTTGACACAACATCTAACTCACTAGTATTCTTCCAGCCCCATATTTTTGCACCATGTAGTATTTGGGCACAGACTTTAGCCTTGAGAACTCTAAGATTGCCCCCATGGACGCGAGTGAAGTGCAGCACTGCTTGTATAGAACTTAGGGCTTTCTTCTTTATCTCCTCTATAGTCTGTCCCATTGGCCATTATATGTAAAACAAACACCCAAATGGGGGTAAAATCTGGACTATTCAATCATCCATTTATGCAACCTTGGTCTATGGCTGAAGACAAATACTATAGTTTTCTGATAGTCTAAATACATGTTGTTTATCTCCACCCCCCCATCCCCACCCTCTGGAAAAGGATAATATGACTAAAAGTAAATACCTTGATATTTGTCATTCAATTGAAAAATCAGCATCCTCTTTGAAAACTGCCCCTCCAGTGTAAATCACACATTAAACATACTTGTTCCAGCGTACTCCTGGCAAAAGCCTTTTCAGCTCATTAAAATCAGCTGCAGTGCTTTTGTTCTCCAAAACAAAGAAACTGTTATCCTAGTTCACTAATGTAGTTTCTCTTCCTTTTGCCAATCCCCACTGTAATCCCGCTAATTTATACTGCCCACCCAACCTTAATGCCTCCTAAAACTTGCAAAACTATATGCAAAGGTCAAAATGGCGCATTATTAAAGTTTAAAAAAAATCTCCTTGTAATTAGTTATTTTGACCCCTGGATATATATTCGTAAATTTATGGGGGAACAACACTGAGGTTTGACATTTTGATCCAGTCTTCAAGGCCGGTCTCCATTTTTGTATCCGTGTACACCCATGATTTGTAATATTAAATTGATATTGTTTCAAAATATTGTTGTTCACTTGAAAAAAAATTACTATATGTTCCTGTGAGATTTCAAAAAAAGAAAATAGCACTTAAAAATACCTGTTAGCTCCGACCACGTTTTTGCAAAACAAGAATTTCATTGACCCAACGAAAACTTGGGTTGTATTTTTACAGAAACTCTGTTACTATCCCATGATCAGCAAAAATTTGATTGCTCAGTGGTCGTGGGGGGTTTTAAATCTCAGAAAGCAGGCATTGAGGATTAAAGATGTTCAATAATGCCATTAGATGTGATGGGTCTAATTCTCCACCCGCTTGTACACTGTAATCATTCATTGACACCTGTGTAAAGTGAATGTGAGGATCACAACTTTGGCATTCAGCATGCACTTTGCACGGGTGTAAATGACTACACAAGGCCGTGGAGAATCGGGCCCAACACGTCAAGCTGTTCTCAGGTGCAGATGCACACATTCCACAAAACAAACCAGAACAGTTATAAATAACATTACTGAGCTCTCTGAATGTTGATGTAGGAAGAGATAGTTGGGTCACATAGATGCCCTGTTCAAATGAGAAAATGAGAAAAAATATATTAATTGTAAGCTCATGGCTTGTACTTTCTTTTTTTCTTTGCAGACCAAATGTCATCAGTATTGGCCTGATCCACCAGATATAATGGAGTATGGCAACTTTCGTGTCAAATGTCAATCTGAAGATTGTACTATTGCCTATGTTTTTAGAGAAATGGTGATTACAAATATTGAGGTGAGTGCTTTTCTGTAGTGTGGCCTTTAGCTTTTGGGGGCAGGGGGGTTGTTTTGTTTTGGTTTTGCTGTAGTGAGAAATCTAACTAAGTACTGTCAACTTCTATATATATTACAGGTATTACATGAACCAGTGCATTTTGATTTAATTTTCTTTAGGGATGCCCCAAAACCATGCAATTCTGAAGATCCTTCTAGTGAGTTACTTTAATAATAAAAAAAGGGCTAAAAAAGTAACTAATTATAAGGCCTTATTCTATTATTATGTTATTTTTATTTATACAGTATTATACTCATTCATGCTGCTTTAGAGCCCCCGACTCTAAACAAACATTTAGGGCTAAAATATAGATTTTTTTTTCTTCATAATATTTTTGCTCATTCAAAAGCAGAGGCTGGGACAATTTTTCAATGCCACACACCCATAGGGCAATTAGAAGAAAAAGGTGAATCCTTCTAATGTAGTTTTAAGGGAGCTTACAGAATCGTGTGAATCTTCTGCCATTAGTTTTGTTAAACTGAAAAGGCAGCTTCATAGAGTGCACAGTTGGAACACTTGCAATTTATGCAAGGTTTTTGTACCCTTCGGCTGCTGCTATTTTGTTGTAATGAAAGGAGAGAAAAGAGAGGAAGAGTCAAATGTATGAAACACTTTTACAGACGTATTTGTACTGCAAAGTTCATATTCGGATCACATCCAAGCTTCTTGAAAGTCTGAGTTTGTTTATACAGAGGGGCTTGGTTCCTGTCCACCTCTAATTTTAAGCTGCCCTACATTTTTCTCTCTGACATCTTTACATCCTCTCTCAAAGTTCTAACCACAAAATATCTATTATCTTCTGAAATGGGGAAGCATTTATGTCATTGTAAAATATTCCATAGGAATCTACCACATACTGACCAGTTTTTAAATTAAAGTATCAGAAATCATACCTTGAAAGTTAAAATAAAAAAATCTTAAATCTCTAGCCCCTCAAGCTACATATCTGACAACTTCTCCCCAAAGTAACTACACTACTCCAATTGCGTTGCAGAGTGTAGAATTTACTGTGTTCCTCCTGCCCCCTCCTTATTGCTTTGAAAAAGTGTTGGAGGCACAGGCACACACCATATTTGCTTCTCTGTGTGAGTAGTTTGCTGTTTTCCTGCCTTCGTGTGCGCACATTCACATAGCTCAGTTACCTCTGACTACCAGTGGTATGTATTGCACCCATGTAAACTTTTTGAAAAACCCAAAGCCAGATAAGTAATACAAGCAATTTGTGAGAGTACAAATGGAGTAACACGCTACTGCAACCAAAGTAGTGGTATTGGGCATACAGGGATGAAATTTATTCTAAGATAAAATAGGAAAATAGATTAAGCATAGTAGAATTTGGACTTATTGATAGGAAGGGAGACATGTAAATGTGGGCATTCTGAAAAGTGAATATTTATTGTGATAACGCATTAAAAATTTGAATCAAAATCTTAGGAGAGCACATCAGAAAAAGTCACAACTTTTTGAAAAGGAGAATGAAAAAGGGTAATGAAGATATTGAAGTTTGAGGAACAGTGGGATATTTAACAAAGGAGCACATTGGTCCTTAGGAAAGAATAGAGCAAAATACAGAAAACTGTAGATGCTTGCAACAACAGAAGTAGTCTTGATGGACTAGTGTGCTCTTATTCTAGAGAGTTCTTATGTAATGTGCTTGCTCATTATACTTGATGTCTGTGAGCTATTAAAAATGCAGCTCCTAGCACATTCAAGCCTTCATTTGTCATGAGTAATACATTCATTATTTAAATCTAAAAAACCGCTCAAAGTGCTATTGAATTTTGTGTAGCGGTCCCCAGGTGCCTCAATAATGTGTCCCTTCAGCACTCACACATATGACTCAGCCTGGAATCTTTAATGAACACCTAAGATCACACCACAGACTCCCTGGCTTGTTTTAGAATGAGTCAAAGTTTCATCTAGCCTGAGTGCTATGATTCAAATGCACTCTAGCTTCTCCAGTTAATGAGAACAAAGCTGTTCTATCCATAATATATGTAATCACTGTTCCACCTCATCTCTTTGAGACACTGATGGTGAACTGAACAATTCGAGGAACTGAGGTGGTTGTAGCCACACAGTCCTTCTATAATTTCAGCTCATAATGT